AAGGATTCAAACCTGGTCCAACTGGCCCCAGAGCTGGAGCTTCGTGCATTGCACACTGCTCCACCCTGTGCATGCTCTGGTCTTCTCTGTGTGACAGCTGAGAAGGGAATGCAGAGCTTCATATTATTCTACCTCAACTGGGGATGTGCGTGTGTGGCAGACCATTCGAAGTTTTCCCCACTCAGTGCATTTCTACCAATGACCATGAAAGTGCTCTGAGTATTCATTTTGGGGTTACAAGTAACTTTGTGGGAGTTAGTAAGTTCACAAATAGAGAATTCACAAGTAATGAAGGTTAACTGTAATTGGTGAGTCCATGGAGTGAGGCACTCTGGTTTCTGTAAAATTAATATATCCCCTATACATCATCATGCACCGTGGGTCTTAGTACTCAACATGATTAGCCTTATTTAAGCCGTTTTAATGGGATTCCTTAAGGATAGGGGACATACACTTTTTTTAAGGGTATGCATATGCTAGGAGAAAGAACTCAAATGACAGGCAACATACAGAATTGCTAAGGCCTCTCACTTTGTTATGTTTTTAATTTATTTGTTTCTCATGTGGGCTATACATCAGTTCCTGAAAGATGGGGCAAGTTTAAGTCTGCATGTGCTCTGAAAGGATGCAGAGAGTTACTGTGTTATGATTTTGTTTCTCATGCTGGAAAGAGCCTCACAGTTTCCAAAACTGATATATTCCTGACAGTGGGATGTGATTCAGAGTGATTTGAAGAGAGATTAAGGGAAGGTGGGTAGCAGTAGACATGGAAGAACCAGTTTTCCATGAATGCAGGAGAGTTGAGGTCTGTGCTATAGGAGGTAGGATCAGTAATGTCCTAGCAATAGGTGATGACCACCTGAGCCAGGGAGAAGGTGAGGGCAGAACTCTCTACTGCAACCTTCTCATTAGTAGGGAACCTCATTTTCTGGAGGTACATGAAGGGATGGCAGTCAGGCTCAGCAGTATGTCAGCATTATGGGATTTAAAATAAGAACATGATCCTTAATTCCACTTTTTGCTCTAAATGGAAATCTTGTTCTGATTGTCATCTTTCCAATCTTGGGCACAATAAGATTTAGGACCCTAAAACATGACCTAGAAGATAGCTGATTTGTTCGAGTCATCGTTTTTCTTCTTCCCTTTTAAAAAGTAAAGCAAAGAGAGGGATGGGAGAAGTGGATTCTTGTTCCTAAAATTTGAAAAGTTAAAGAAATGTCCTTTACAGCTGCAACTGGAATTTTGGGGATGAGAAACACATTAACTATCATTGTCTACCACCATCTTAGGGCAGATTTGCTGCTCAGGGCAATAGATAGAACCTGGAGAGAAAAGGACTCGGGACTGCTAAGTTCTGACAGATAGGAAAGGGGCTCCAAAAAAGAATTTAA